GCTGCGGCGCCAGCTCGGAGCGGACGCAGTACCGACCTGCTCAGTACTAACTAGGTCGACAGCAGCAGCAGAGGCGACAGAGGGGAGAAGGGGGGAAGGGGAACACCCCTCGAAGAAAGGGGTGCGGGGGTCGCCACGAGAGGCACCTACAGCGACTATGCTAGTCTCAGCTGCAAGCAGTTCCTTCTCGAGCAGGTCAACGGTGAGCTCAGTGGGGCAGCGAGCGAGGAAGTGGTCCCTGACCGCACGAAGAGAGTCAGGGAGACGGGTGACAAGGTGGTAGAGAGTGAGCCAGAGCGGGGGGGGGTGGGTGGCAAGAAACTCAGCGGGCATAGCGGCACGGAAGCGAGCCTCACTAGTGCGGAGGTGCGTGATGAGGTCAGCTACTGTGGCGAAAGCGGACAGGTCTGGGAACAGGTAGGGGAGCGAGAGACGGCTTAGCGCAGCAGAGGCAGGTGAGGAGTAGCGTGCAACTACAGCAGTGTACAGTGCCTGCGCAGTTTTGTGCTGGCCAAAGTGCTCGCGCTCATCTACCGGCAGGGAGTTGCGAATAGCGAAACGAGCGTGGGCATCACGAGTCTGCCACTGTGAGCGGGCAGTACTGTCAGCAGTAACAGCAGGGGCAGCAGCGAGGCCTAGTGCGTGATCGTACAGCGAGATGTCCTCCTTGGCAGTGAGCTGGAGGAACAGGTGCAAGTCATCTAGCCAGGTGTCAAACTTCAGTGGGCGGCCCTCGGCATCGAAAGCGAGTACGGCGGGGCTAGCCATAGTAGCAGTAAGAGCAGTAGTAACAGCAGGAACAGTAGCAGTAGTAGCAGCAGGCGAAACCCTAAAAACAGCAGGCAGCACGACTCAGGTAGGGCGGCTCGGTCCAGAGGGGGCTGCTCAGTACGGGGAGGGCGGCGCGGCTCGGTTCGGGCGGCGCGGCTCGGCTCGGGCTGGGCGGCTCGGTTCGGGCGGCTCGGTTCGGGCGGCTCGGTTCTGGCGGGGCCGTGGCTGTCGCGTGCGGGGCTGCCGGGGCTGCTAGGTGGGGCGCGCGCGGGGTCGACGGGGCCTCTAGGTGGGGCGCGTGCGGGGTCGACGGGGCCGAGAGGGGCCGCTAAGGGGCGGCGCGCGGGGTCGACGGGGCCGAGAGGGGCCGCTAAGGGGCGGCGCGCGGGGTCGACGGGGCCGTGAGGGGCCGCTAAGGGGCGGCGCGCGGGGTCGACGGGGCCGTGAGGGGCCGCTAAGGGGCGGCGCGCGGGGTCGACGGGGCCGTGAGGGGCCGCTAAGGGGCGGCGCGCGGGGTCGACGGGGCCTTACAGGGCCGCTAAGGAGGGGCGCACGAGGGCGCTGGGGGGAGGCGCTCGAGGGCGCTCCGACAGTAGGGCGCACGAGGGCGCTAGTAGGCAGTCAGTAGTGGTGGGCCCTAAAAAACCGGTCCTAGCGGAGGACCTGCTCTGAAACCATGTCAGAATGAAAGAAACAGGAATGATTGAACTAGCAGAAAGTTGGGTACAAGTAGTGAAACCCTAAAGTGTTGTACCCCATATTGACTACCCCACTACAGCCTAAACAAGCTATAGCATATAAGTTTGACACCCACGGGTATCAGACAGACCCGTTCTTTACTGGAGGCAACTCACAGCAGTTCGCAGCAGCAAAAGGGGTGTACTACGTAAAAGCCGGCACCGACCGCATCTGGGTACCGGGCTACACTTTACTAAGGGAACTGTTACTACAGGAGGCACACGACGGGGTTACCTCAGGACATTTTGGAGTAGAGAAAACACGGCAGCAGCTGCAGCGGTATTACTACTGGCCCGAGATGCTGACCGACGTGGAACGACACGTGGCATCGTGTCCCACCTGCCAGCTCATGAAATCGTCACGACAACGACCGGCAGGACAGTTGCAGCCGATACCACCCCCAGAGCGTGCTTGGCAGCAGGTGACGATGGACTTCGTCACGGGGTTACCGGCTGGAGCAAGTGGGAACGACGCGATCCTGGTCGTCGTCGATCGGCTGACGAAAATGGCACACTTCGCAGCCTGCAAGAAATCAATCACAGCCGAAGAAACAGCCAGCCTCTTCATCTCCACCGTCAGTCGACTGCACGGGATACCAGCATCAATTATCAGCGACCGCGACACGAAATTCACCTGCAACTTCTGGCGAAACCTGTGGCAGCAGTTCGGCACGCTACTACAGTTCGGTTCATCATACCACCCCGAAACCGACGGACAGACAGAACGGACAAATCAGACCATGGAACAGCTCATCCGAGCCACGTGCGACGACCCGACCACGTGGGAACAGCAACTGCCACTCATCGAGTTCGCGTACAACAACTCGCCATCTGCCACGACCCGACAGTCACCGTTTTACCTGAACTACGGACAAGACCCCACAGTACCCATGACCCCGAACCCCGACAACCCAGTCCCACGAGCGCAACAGTTCGCAGAAATACTGCAAGCAGCACGGACCCGAGCAGCGGAAGCAATAGAAAAATCAAACGTCATCGCTAAGCGCAACGCCGACCGACACCGCCGCCCCGTCACTTACCAACCCGACGACCTGGTATTACTCGACACTCAAAACCTCCGCCTGCCCATCACCCCAAAACTCCGCCCCCGATATTGCGGGCCATTTCGCATCAGCCACATGATCACACCCGTCACCGCCCACCTCCTCCTCCCTGCTGACTGGTACGTCAGCCCGTCATTCCACGTAAGCCTGCTTCGCCCATACGTGCCATCCACCAGCCAACTGCCTCGCAACCGCCCCGCCAGCATGACACGACCACCGACAGAGCCAATCATCACGCCCGACAAAATACTGAGCCACCGAGTACGTGACCCACGGGGAGCCCGCAGGATCGAATTTCTAATCCGCTGGAAAGACCGCACGCCCACCGAAGACAACTGGGTTCCCCTGGATAGAATTGAGAATCACCCTGTCCTGACTGAGTATCTGCGTAGCCAGAACTTTCGAGATGTACACGCGCTCTCGTAAGAGGGGCCTCCTCGGGGAGGGGGGTAGTGTAAGGAAAATTCCTTTTCCTTACTTCGCGTCCCTGCTTACCGCGTACATGCCCGTTCCCGCCATTGGCACCCATCCGTGAACGTTACCCGCTCGCGACATTCGCCTCGACCACGACTCCCGCCACTGTTCACGGTGCGACCCAACCTCACGGTTCGGTTGGTAACCCGCGCTCCGGACCTCCGCCTCGACAATTCCCAACCTCGGCACCAGGCCCGTAGCGCACCCCAATTTCCCGCATTACCGTTACCACGCTAGCTTCGCTATATAACTTCGCTCATGCTTTTCGCTCAACTGTATTGTTTTGCTTCGATAGTGCAATTCTCGCTCGCTCACTCAATTGCACTCGTAACAAGACTGAATGGATGAGTTGCTGAATGATGCGTGCATTTTTGTTGTAATGTACCCCCATCGCGTCGCCAATGCTGGACACACGGGCAATGTCTTTTTGCGCGGCGCGATGACCCATCTGCAAGCAATAGCCCAATGAACGAACATATCATATCGTCGAGTCAAACATATCGAACTTCAGTCAACGCCTGCCAAAATAATGTTGACCACCGAAGCTTTTCCTCATCCTGCCTCAACGAAATCCGAAGAATCTTGAATCCCGCTTTGAATTAGATTCGTTTGAACTATGTGCTGTTGTGCACAGATCAAACATCAATATTAGATTATGTTTTTATGTACAGCCCGAAAAACACCTTACACAAGATGCCCAACCCCTGCGCGCGAATTTGCCCTGCACGCGGCGAAAACTCTGCACACGTGTATTTTGCGCCAGCCAGTTGCACCCCATGTACAAGCACCTCAACCAATACGAACCACAGAAATCAAAGTTTGACCGAAGAGACTGAAGTCAAAAAATCAACGGCGAGTTTCAAAACTTTTTATAGGCCCTTTTTGCTAAGAGCGAATTGACGAAAGCCTAGCGAAATGCAAGAATCACTTAAGAGCCCTCTTCACAAGGCAACCTTGGGTTAGTCAAACGGGCATCATGTGTACCGTCTGTTTTGTTTTTCGCACCAGTCACCAGCAGTCAAGCTTCCAGAATCGAACGCAAGCCCCAGAGTGACTACCAATCTGATGAGCTCATCGCAAGGGCGTTACGAGAGAAGTCGCGATCCGCGACTTGCTCGACCAAGCTGACGTGGCAAAAATGGGGGAGCCGCTCGACGGCAGGGCAGGGAGGTTCAGAAACAAGGCGCGAAGGCAGTGGACTTTCGCGAGAGCGATTCCATCTCGACGTCGCGCAGCGACTCCGTCGACGCTTGCCCCGTCGCGTGATGCCCTAGGAATACGTTGGGGAGAATTGAGGAAAGGAAGGGGAGTGGGGCAGAGGGGGAAGGGAAGCAAGGGGATGGTTTAGACCGCACACGCGGGAAGCCTCAGAGGATCTCGAATTTCTCTCGTCGCAACGAAGCGCATACTTTGAGATCAACCACACCCCATGGCGTGCCGCTGACTCGCATCTCGCTGCGAACCCGCATTGCAAGCAATCGCGTTACTGAGCTCGGCGATGGCGGCAGATGGACAACATCGAGCCCCCAGCTGCATCCGCAGCTTGGAGCTGCATTTGAAGCTCCGCCGACCGCAGCTCCGCCATACGCACCTCCGCCATCCGCAGCTCCGCCATCCGCACCTCCGCCGCGCCCAGATCCGCCGCGCGCAGCTCTTCAGCTCCGCCACGCGCAGCTGTTGAGCGTGCTGTCACCTGATTTTCCTGTTTTTTCAGGGTGGCTTTGTGTACTGATCCTAAAGTTTCAGCGTTCTAGATTTAGTGACTCTGAAATCTCGGTGTTTTTGGTTTTGCAGCACTGATTTTTAGAGCTTTGGGTTTGTGCAGTGATGGATCAGTGCTGTGTTGCCTCATGGCGGCTGTCCCTGATCAACGACCAGTGGGGTCTGTCTGATGCCGTACTGCGCTCCATCCACACTCCAACCCTGCTGGTAGGAGGACTTCTGAACAATGGCATCATTGTAGGGGGGAGTGTGGTCCAGTGCCTCCATCCATGCCTCCATCCATGCCTCCATCCATGCCTCCATCCATGCCTCCATCCATGCCTCCATCCATGCCTCCATCCATGCCTCCATCCATGCCTCCATCCATGCCTCCATCCATGCCTCCATCCATGCCTCCATCCATGCCTCCATCCATGCCTCCATCCATGCCTCCATCCACGCCTCCATCCATGCCTCCATCCACGCCTCCATCCATGCCTCCATCCATGCCTCCATCCATGCCTCCATCCATGCCTCCATCCATGCCTCCATCCATGCCTCCATCCATGCCTCCATCCATGCCTCCATCCATGCCTCCATCCATGCCTCCATCCATGCCTCCATCCATGCCTCCATCCATGCCTCCATCCATGCCTCCATCCATGCCTCCATCCATGCCTCCATCCATGCCTCCATCCATGCCTCCATCCATGCCTCCATCCATGCCTCCATCCATGCCTCCATCCATGCCTCCATCCATGCCTCCATCCATGCCTCCATCCATGCCTCCATCCATGCCTCCATCCATGCCTCCATCCATGCCTCCATCCATGCCTCCATCCATGCCTCCATCCATGCCTCCATCCATGCCTCCATCCATGCCTCCATCCATGCCTCCATCCATGCCTCCATCCATGCCTCCATCCATGCCTCCATCTATGCCTCCATCCATGCCTCCATCCATGCCTCCATCCATGCCTCCATCCATGCCTCCATCCATGCCTCCATCCATGCCTCCATCCACGCCTCCATCCATGCCTCCACCCTTCCATGCCTTCATGCCTTCCCTCAATATCCCACCAGGTGGCCTCATCAAAGGACAGGGTGCTGCCAGCAGTGGCAGAGACAGGCCGACTTCTCGGTTTGCTTCCGCACAGCAAGCGAGTCATTCTCCCCACCAGGTAACCCTCCCCACCAGGTAACTGTTATAGTCACAATAGGCTTGAATGTGCCTAAAACGAAAGATAGAGAGCACAGACGGATTTCTGCACAGCGGCTTCAAACGTTGATAGCGTTCTGCTCACAGCTGCAAATGACTTGATTCAAATTGGATCTGGAGCGTCTTCACGTCGTCTACAATTATCAATTTAGATTGCACGATTTGATAAAGAATTGACGACACATCGTCGGTTTGAACGAACGGTACTATGGCAGCCACTATAGTCTTAGAACACAAGATAGGAAGAGTTACGAGTTGGGAATGACTCCCAGCTCCTACAAACCCCAAGAGCCGAGGTACAGTGATGTGGAACAGTGCCACACTATCCCCAACCACGAAGGGTCTCGAAACTACCCTTCACTAGGGCCTACACCAAGTGAAATGTTACACTACACAAAGTAATGTAAATATCTTCAATATCTTGAGGTGTACCCTTTTTGGCAAGCTTCGAAATCACTTGAGGCTTGACACCAAGGCTCGGGCTCTTCATCACAAACTCATCCTTGAGTTTTTGATGGGTCTGCTGCACACACCTGCGACACGCCGAACGTTCGACACAGGACAAAATAGAAACCGCGCACGACAAAATAGAAACCGCGCGCGAGACACAAACGACCGCGTAACACGCGTCTAGCGATAACTCGCTATTGACTCGACACACACACTCGACATCATGACTCAACATTCACACACAATTATAAGCATGAAATATATATTATCCCATGCCCTCATACCATTCCATACACACACACATTCACGCACACGGACAACAAGCCGAGTGCAAACCGTAGGGTTGCACCAACACAAGAAACACTAACTTCTGTCCTCTAATTCTCTTCTTTCGCCCTCCCGGTCTGCTCCCTCACCCACCCATGCCGTTCCCCTCTCAATTCTTCCATTGCTGTCAAACACGCCTTATCTTCTCTGCCCTCTCTCCCACTCCCTCCCTCCTCTCCCTCGCCCCTCCCAGCTCACACTCAACGCCCTCAACTACACTCTCTCGCGGCCAGACATCGAGGCAGAGGAGAGCTATTAGTGTCTTGAGGTGCCTTATAACGAGGCAGAGAGCTACTAGTGCCTTGAGGAACCTTATAACGAGGAAGAAAGCTACCAGGTATTGTACCAGCAGCCCCACGCACATGACAGGCCTGGGCATTTTCTCCTGCTCTCCTGTCTGACAGGTACCAAGACTGGATATACCCCGGCTTGGCTTCCCCTCTGCTGTACAGTCTGTGTTGTGTGTTCCCTCGTCTCTATCAACTAGAATGGTGCCGGGCCATATCAGTAGTTGAAATAGAGTGGTGGTGTTGGGCCGTATCAGTGGATTCAGTGTTCACTCAAGCATTGCCACGCTGTGATTACTCCACACGGCGCTGCCTATGCTGCAAGCAGTTCCTGCATATGCACTTCCGATATGGCTAGAATTGATCGATCGCAGTCTCGTGGCGCTTGTGATGATCGCACAGCTGGAGTGGCTGACACTGAACATCCGGCTTTCTTACGCTACGGTATGCGTCGTTGCACTCGCATCGCATTTGAAACGCATTTGTTTGGTATGGTTGGTTGCTCTCCTGAGCCAGCTTTCCATGTACCGTACCAGCTCGGCTCGGCCTCTCTATGTGTGAAAGCATCGGAGAGAATGCACACAATCCAACTCAACAGATTACACAAAGAGCCATTACATCAGATGTACTCACAACATCCTACTGCACAGACGCTGGCTGCTACAAGCTTGGACAAAGCAGCACTATACTGATTGACCCCATGCATCAGTGCTTGTGCTGCTGCACCCAAGCTCTGGCAACTCAAGCAAACATGAAAACCCTACAGTCTCTAGCCTCGGCGCAATCTAACGGCCATGCCTCCGCAAATACCACCATCCATGCCCCCCCTATGACCCATGATGCCTGCCTTGGCTTAGGGAGAAAACGGCCCTGGTCCGCCCATCCCTCCGCCCATCCCAGGTCCACCCTGGCTGGGTGCTGCCTGCGACCCTGGAGCAAACCAACCTGACCCGCCCATGCCTCCCCCGCCCATTCCGCCGCCTCCCATGCCCCTCCCAGGACCCATGGCTGATTGTGATCCGGGAGCAGAGGACCCAGGTCCGCCCATGCCGCCGCCCATCCCGCCGCCGCCCATTCCACCGCCGCCCATTCCGCCGCCACCCATGCCGCCGCCGCCCATTCCGCCACCGCCCATTCCACCGCCGCCCATTCCGCCGCCGCCCATTCCGCCGCCGCCCATTCCGCCGCCGCCCATTCCGCCGCCGCCCATTCCGCCGCCGCCCATTCCGCCGCCGCCCATTCCGCCGCCGCCCATTCCGCCGCCGCCCATTCCGCCACCACCCATTCCACCGTCACCCATTCCGCCGCCCATGGTCCCCCCAGGACCCATGGCTGATTGTGATCCGGGAGCAGAGGACCCAGGTCCGCCCATGCCGCCGCCGCCCATTCCGCCGCCGCTCATTCCGCCGCCGCCCATGCCCCCGCCGCCCATTCCACCACCAACCATTCCGCCGCCGCCCATTCCGCCGCCACCCATGCTTCCGCCGCCCGTTCCGCCGCCACCCATTCCGCCGCCGCCCATTCCGCCGCCACCCATGCTTCCGCCGCCCATTCCACCGCCACTCATTCCGTCGCCGCCCATTCCGCCGCCACCCATGCTTCCGCCGTCCATTCCGCCGCCACCCATTCCGCCCCCGCCCATTCCGCCCCCGCCAATTCCGCCGCCGCCCATACTGCTTCCACCCATTCCGCCGCCGCCCATTCCGCCGCCACCCATGCTGCTGCCGCCCATTCCTCCGCCGCCCATTCCGCTGCCGCCCATATTGTTTCCACCAATTCCGCCGCTCTGTTGCTGCTGCTGCTGTTGCTGCTGCTGGCCGGTCGAGCGTCCGCCTTGCGCCCATCCGCGCATCATCCCGCGCAGCTTGTCTGCGCGGAGCCCCGCGGAGAAGCGGAAGGCAAACACCGTGTGGAGAGACGAGAGAAGGACGAGCGAGAGGAGGAGAAGGGCCTTGCTCAGGTCACGGCGACGACGCTGGCCCGAAGAAAGTGAGACTCTCTGCGTCATTGTGCTTGTGCACTACCTAGGATGCAGGAAATATTCTCACGGAGAGAGAAATCTAGCTTTTCAGGAGCAATCTAGCTGCCCAGGAGCTTGGAAGACACGGAGCAGCTTCAGAATCGGAGATCTCGAAGTCCTTTTTTTGAGGCTGAAGTGAAGTGAATCGAAGTGAAGTAGACTGAATGAATGAGTTGCCAAATGCCGCATGCTTTTTGTACCCTCATCGCGTCGCCAACGCAATGAATTTTGCGCGGCGCAATGACTCAAAGTGTAAGCAATAGATCAATGAGCAAACAAAGGCCGTCGGCTAGTCAAACACACGAAATTCCAGTCAACCTCTCGCAAAAAATGTTGACCACTGTAGCTTTTCTCCACCCCCCATCAAGAAATTGGAAGAAATTCGAATCCTCTTTTGAACCAGATTCGATATGAGTAGAATTCGCCGCTGTGAGTAGCGCAAGCATCAATTTCGGACTCTGGTTATCTGGACAGCCTGAAAGAACCTTACCGTGCGTTTTCATATTTGCACCTTGTCATTAGCAGTCCTTCCACAATCGCGAATAAATCCATGACCATCAAGCTAAGTCCCGTAGTGACTGACAATCTGGTGAGCTCACCCCAATGGCGCTACGTAAGAAACGCGATCCGAGACTTGCTCTGAGTAGCAACATGCCAAAGTCGCTCGACGGCAGGGCAGGGGGGCTCAGAAACAAGACGAAAGGCGAGAACGCAGAGGAATTCCGCGAGAGCGATTCTGCTGCGGCGTGCCCCGTCGTGCCATGCCCTAGCAATACGTGGCGGAGAAGGGAGAGGAAAGAGGGGGGCGGGGGATGGGAATGATGGTCAAGAGCGCACGCGCAGTAAGCCTCAGAAGATCTCAATGTCTCTCGTTGCATCGAAGCGCACACCTTGAGGTCATCCACCCTCCCATGTCGTGCCACTGACTCGCTCCTCGCTGCAATTCGCAAACATGCGGCTTGCATTGCATGCGAATTCGTGTTACAGAGCTCGGCGATGGCGGCAGAGGGTCAACAGAGAGACCCGAGCTCCGCCACGCGCAGCTCCGCCACGCGAGCTTGTCAGCTTGTTGTGACCCAGGATTGCAGCCATGCTTGCCGTGCATCTCGCAGCATATCCCCTGTCCTCAGGCTGAGTGTGGATACACTCCCCCGCCCCCCCTGCGCCACCCTGCTCTGCCCTGACCCACGTCTCATATCGTCCATACGTTCCACTTCCGCAGCCGTTTTAGCCTCCCTAACCGGTCTGATCTGACACCCAGTCGCCCCAGCCACCCCCAGCCTTCCCAAGCTCAGCTACCCTAGGGCCATGTGACATGGCGGGCTGATAACCTAGTAAACCCTTGCGCGGCGGAGCTGCTGCTGCCGCTGAGGCATGGTGGTTCGCCTGACAGCACCATGCCTCAGCGGCAGCAGCAGCAGCAGCAGCGCCTGGCATGTATGTGGCTGATTTTCGCCCCACTCCGGGTGTGATAGTCGATTTTTGAGTCGACTCAAAAATCGGCCTGACAGCACCATGTATGTGGCTGATTTTCGCCCCACTCTGGAATGGGCTTGGAAGGAACGAGGTACTTGACACTGAAATCACTGAGGCGATTTTGGTGGCGCTTCATAGATTATGTCGACCGTGACTGTGCAATCTCTGTCAGTTCGCTCACGTTACGTTAGTGAGTGGCTGTGAGAATGATGAGGCGGAGAGGGCCTGGGCATGGGCTATGCCGCATGGCGCTGCTGCCATGAAGTGGCTGTGAGCTAGGCTACCACTCAAGGGCAAAGCTCGCCTCACATCACCCATCATCACCCATCGCCCCCTGCTCTCACCCCTTCCAACTCCTTTCCTTCCACCTCCGCTTGCCATGCTGCCTGGTGCAGCTTCCAGGTGTCATCGGTGCAGCAGCCTGCTCGCGAACCATCAATTGCCAAGCGACCGACTCTCTCGCGAGCATCAACTGCAAGTGAACGAACCGATCGTTGGTGCATCCACTGCCGTGCCCACACTCCCTGAGGTACAGGCATGCACACACAGCTCATGGACTTGGTTCATGCGGTGTCACTCACGTGTATGCGTGCACTGGAATGCATGCTCGCTCTCAGGTGTGTTTTGAGTCGACTCAAAACACACCTGCAGTCAATTCGCATGTCATGTCACTCACGTGTATGCGTGCACTGGAATGCATGCTCGCTCTCATGGGTGCACACTTCCTCTAGGGGCGTGCACACTCGCTCTCATGCGTGCACACTCACTCTCATGCCCGCACACTCACTCTCATGCGTGCACACTCACTCTCATGCCCGCACACTCACTCTCATGCGTGCACACTCACTCTCATGCGAGCACACTCACTCTCATGCGTGCACACTCACTCTCATGCGTGCACACTCACTCTCATGCGAGCACGCTCACTCTCATGCGTGCACACTCACTCTCATGCGAGCACACTCACTCTCATGCGTGCACACTCACTCTCATGCGTGCACACTCACTCTCATGCGTGCACGCTCACTCTCATGCGAGCACACTCACTCTCATGCGAGCACGCTCACTCTCATGCGTGCACACTCACTCTCATGCGAGCACACTCACTCTCATGCGTGCACACTCACTCGCATGCGAGCACGCTCACTCTCATGCGAGCACACTCACTCTCGTGCGTGCACACTCACTCTCATGCGTGCACACTCACTCTCATGCGAGCACGCTCACTCTCATGCGAGCACACTCACTCTCATGCGTGCACGCTCACTCTCATACGAGCACGCTCACTCTCATGCGAGCACACTCACTCTCATGCGTGCACGCTCACTCTCATGCGTGCACACTCACTCTCGTGCGAGCACACTCACTCTCATGCGAGCACACTCACTCTCATGCGTGCACACTCACTCTCATGCGAGCACACTCACTCTCATGCGTGCACACTCACTCTCATGCGAGCACGCTCACTCTCATGCGTACACGCTCACTCTCATGCGAGCACACTCACTCTCATGCGAGCACGCTCACTCTCATGCGTGCACGCTCACTCTCATGCGAGCACGCTCACTCTCATGCGAGCACGCTCACTCTCATGCGTGCACACTCACCCTTAAGTGGCAGGCAGCTGACCAGCATCGAATTGTGTGTGTTGCTGAGGGGGGCGTGGTGAGGGGGGCGTGGTGAGGGGGGCGTGGTGAGGGGGGCGTGGTGAGGGGGTTTGACGCCCATTGCCCGGCAGCATGTGGATGTGTTGGCAAAGGATGTCCTCACTTTGAGTGCTGCTGTGAATGTGCTCAGTGCATCTGTGCTGTCCATGCCACTTGTATGTGCCTGCCACTTGTATGTGCATGCCACTTGTATGTGCATGCCACTTGTATGTCCATGCCACTTGTATGTCCATGCCACTTGTATGTGCATGCCACTTGTATGTGCATGCCACTTGTATGTCCATGCCACTTGTATGTGCATGCCACTTGTATGTGCATGCCACTTGTATGTGCATGCCACTTGTATGTCCATGCCACTTGTATGTGCATGCCACTTGTATGTGCATGCCACTTGTATGTGCATGCCACTTGTATGTCCATGCCACTTGTATGTGCATGCCACTTGTATGTGCATGCCACTTGTATGTGCATGCCACTTGTATGTGCATGCCACTTGTATGTCCATGCCACTTGTATGTGCATGCCACTTGTATGTGCATGCCACTTGTATGTGCATGCCACTTGTATGTGCATGCCACTTGTATGTCCATGCCACTTGTATGTCCATGCCACTTGTATGTGCATGCCACTTGTATGTGCATGCCACTTGTATGTCCATTCCACTTGTATGTGCATGCCACTTGTATGTGCATGCCACTTGTATGTGCATGCCACTTGTATGTCCATGCCACTTGTATGTGCATGCCACTTGTATGTGCATGCCACTTGTATGTGCATGCCACTTGTATGTGCATGCCACTTGTATGTCCATGCCACTTGTATGTGCATGCCACTTGTATGTGCATGCCACTTGTATGTCCATGCCACTTGTATGTGCATGCCACTTGTATGTGCATGCCACTTGTATGTGCATGCCACTTGTATGTCCATGCCACTTGCATGTGCATGCCACTTGTATGTGCATGCCACTTGTATGTGCATGCCACTTGTATGTGCATGCCACTTGTATGTCCATGCCACTTGTATGTCCATGCCACTTGTATGTGCATGCCACTTGTATGTGCATGCCACTTGTATGTCCATGCCACTTGTATGTGCATGCCACTTGTATGTGCATGCCACTTGTATGTGCATGCCACTTGTATGTCCATGCCACTTGTATGTGCATGCCACTTGTATGTGCATGCCACTTGTATGTCCATGCCACTTGTATGTGCATGCCACTTGTATGTGCATGCCACTTGTATGTCCATGCCACTTGTATGTGCATGCCACTTGTATGTGCATGCCACTTGTATGTGCATGCCACTTGTATGTGCATGCCACTTGTATGTCCATGCCACTTGTATGTCCATGCCACTTGTATGTGCATGCCACTTGTATGTGCATGCCACTTGTATGTCCATGCCACTTGTATGTGCATGCCACTTGTATGTGCATGCCACTTGTATGTGCATGCCACTTGTATGTCCATGCCACTTGTATGTGCATGCCACTTGTATGTCCATGCCACTTGTATGTGCATGCCACTTGTATGTGCATGCCACTTGTATGTCCATGCCACTTGTATGTGCATGCCACTTGTATGTGCATGCCACTTGTATGTGCATGCCACTTGTATGTCCATGCCACTTGTATGTGCATGCCACTTGTATGTCCATGTCACTTGTATGTCCATGCCACTTGTATGTGCATGCCACTTGTATGTGCATGCCACTTGTATGTGCATGCCACTTGTATGTCCATGCCACTTGTATGTGCATGCCACTTGTATGTCCATGCCACTTGTATGTGCATGCCACTTGTATGTGCATGCCACTTGTATGTGCATGCATGCATGCATGG